CGTAATTTGAGTGGGGGTGCTGAGCATGCGTATGTGTTGTGGGGCATATTGGTATTTTATGGAGTGTGCAAGAAGGGTGAGCTTCACTTTGCGGGGAGAGAACATTGCCGGCCATTTGAGCCTATGGAGCAGTGTTGACTGATTCAGAGGGGTGTAGAGGGTGAGACGGAGGCAAATTCTGGATTCGCTCAAGACGGTCAGGGACTGTGATTGAGAGCGGGGTGACAGCAATGCATACATATAATTATAGGCAGGATATATGTTTTGTAAGTGAGAGAGAGTGATGTTTAGTGTGTGAGTTGATTTGAGCCTAAAGAGAATATTTAAAAATGATTTTACGGCTTTCTTCAGTACAAAGTCAAGGTGGGCTGACAACCTCAGGTCGTGCGGCAAGATGATGCCGAGGTGGCGATGTTGCAGGACATTTCAGAGATGTGCATTGTTGAGCTCTATGCGTGGGGATGGCGAGGGGCATTTTCCGTTGTAGAAGGTGAGGACTACCATTTTTTCCAGTGTCGATTAGGAGGTGCCAGCGCTCTAACCATCCAGCGGCGGCTGACACGCTGCTGTGCAGTTGCAGTTCGCAGTGTGCGGCAGAGCTGCTGGAGCAGACGAGGGCTGTGTCGTCAGCAAATTGGCTGCACTTGGTGCTGGCGTTCTCGGAAGCGGCAGGCAGGTCGATGGTGTACACCACCAACAGCAGTGATCCCAAGACTGAGCCCTGAGGCACTCCGGCCGGGATGGGGAGGAAGGCTGATGTTGTGCCCTCAACTTGTTGCAATCGTTGTTGTTGCGATCGTTGCTGCTGCAATACGCCCATTGCGCATTGTCAATTATGGAAGATATGAGTGTTGCATGTGAGTGCGCTGGGATCAGCAATGCACTGTTCAACACTCCCACACGGCCATGACCAGGTGTGCCTGGGTGTGCGTTGTTGGCGCTACAGATTATGTCATTGCGCAATGGGCTCATATCAATAACTGCGCTGTTGATTCCGGTGAAGACAGTAGGGGGTAGAGGTGACACGGCAAACCAACTCCATCACGCAAGTTACGATCAAGCTCCTCTTAAATCTAGCTGTCTAACTGTCCCCAGCTCATGCTTTGTTCCGGTATTCCCCGAGAGTCATAACAAGAGTACATAACCCCCCAGATTGTGCAACTCCCACATACCCTGCTGTCCCGACGGAATTTCAAGTTGATGTCATTATTTACGACGCAATGCTCCTTGCACCAGTGATTTACAACATGTGTACGGGTGTCAGCCCATCACACGTTTTTCTTTGCATTAATTTGTACAGGATCGATCGGCTTCGGTCAACCACAGGTTCCGGATTTGTCTGATAATCCGTGTACAGTGCGCATTGCATCATCAAAATGACGTCGACTTGAAATTCTGTCGGGACAGCACCCATAGTGGAGTTGCACACTCTGGGGGGTTATGTACTCTTGGTCATACTGATGCCTAGAGAGTTGAAAATCTTGCCAGCTTTAAAAAAATGATATTTGGGAAAGAAATACCACGGGGAAAATGTATGGAAAAGTCGGTCCAAACCACGTATTTTTCGAACTTCTCGAACTTAAAGCGGGTTTTGAGCCAGGGAGTAATACAGCTACCTGGAGGTCACCCTAGCATACCAGTTTGACGATTGCCCCAGAACCGTTTTCTCCCTGCGGGTGGGATAGAGGCGAGATGGTCACTTAGGTAGTGTGGAACTTGCTTCAAGTTCCCTTTCTTCGTGAGCCTGCGGGATGATCGACCATGATGTTTCGGGGAAGCATTCTCTGGAACACTCTCCCCTCTGATTTTGGAGTGATAGGTGTCCCTGGTCCCTTCCGAAAAGCTCTTTCTGCCATTGATATACTTACTTTGTGAATATCCTCGTTAAACTTTTATCATCTGCCATAAATTCCAACCTTCTCATCTATCAATCATTTGTAAATTTATGTCTCTAAAATCAACCACGTATTCCTGACTCCATGAAATTCTCTTTCTATTCTTTGACTCCATGAAATTATTGTCTTTCTATTTCTGACTCCATGAAATTGTCTTCATATAATTTTTCCTTTTCCTCTTTTGGTCCTTTCTGTCTTATATTATTAGCATTTCTTGTTTTCCCTTGCATATCATCCCTTCATCATTCTGTGAGAACCTGTCCTATGGGCAGGTGAGAAGGCATCTCTGCCTGTTCATTTGGTGAAGTAAAATAAACAACGACAACAACAAGTACCTTTCTCTTATTGGCCACAGGCCATCGTGAGAATAAAAGATTTCAAAAAGTATGCAGGTACTCGCACGGATCAGGATTCTCTCGATCAGTGAGTAGTGAAATACCTACTGCCAAAGAGACTCCTGCTACAGCCTGTAGAAGCTCAGCGATAAGCATTTCCAAAAATTGTTTGCCTTTGCAAAGTTTGGTTGGCAACTCACCTAGATGTACATGCATGTCACGGTAGAAGTCCATCAATAGTTCTATCACTTTGGGAGATGCCCTCTGTTA